CTTTATTTACTGTTCTATGTTTTAAGAAAAATAAGTTTAAGAACTTATTTCAAAATAGCAATAAGATTATACATAAGTGGTGTGTAATAATTGAAATGTGACTGTATTTTACAAAATACTACTCTACTAAAACACAACCAAGACAAATTATTTGTTCAGACCAAAGGTCAGTTTTATGTTATTTGATACGGTAACATGAGTGCACGTGAGCCACATCATTGCATCTTCTGTATTGTTAGCCAGGCACGACTGAAAGATGAATATAATAAAAATATATAAATGTATAATGTAATGAGATTTAAGCTATTTAGTCTAAACATTTATGTTTTCGTATTATAATTTGTGTTATTTCTAGAATGAAAGAGGCATAATTTATATTTATTTCTTAATCTACTGAACCTGTACAGAGAGTAATTACTGAAGAAACATTAGATAACTATCTGGACATTACAAAGATTTCGTATGTGAAATTTGAAAATGTTCTGATGCATAAAAGTATTTTTAATCTTAAAATGAAAATTACTTTGCATGATAGATAGGCAACACGTGAAAAGAAAAAAATGCAAGAGAAAAACATTGCTTTACAAACCTTAAGACTTAATAAAAAAAATTGATATTTTGCATATGAAAGCACTGTAATGTTAACTGATAATATGCCAGATTTCGTTAAAATACGCTTACTAATTTAAAAGTTATAGCATGATAACTATAACAAGCACAAAATGGTTACCAGGTCAGTCCCAGGGACCGAGCTTATGTTGAAAGACTTAACACATTGTGACATATATTATTTATGGAAATAATTCATTGCAACGCAACTTTTTAATGAAAGAAAAATTCATATGTTCAATGGTATATTAAGAAATGCCACAACCACACAAATATGTTCAAATTTCTTTTAAAGAAAAAAAGTTTTTTTCTATTGTTAAGCAGTCCAGAGAAAGACTTCAAAGTTAAGGAAGTACTCCATTAACTTTGAACAATTTTTTTTTAAAGAATGAGATCAAAAATGGTTATATCAAGTTTAACTTCCAAAAAAACAAGAACAAAACTAATCATGACAAACAACATTTTAGCAATTAGCATTTTTCAGAAATAGTAGAGAAACTTTACAAACTTTATATCTGATGTAGTAATTTCTGTTCCCTATGAGCTAAGTGTTTGTTACATTAATATAATGTAATGACTTAATTTATATGAAATTTTAAATAGGTTGAATTATCAACCAATATCTTCATTGTCTTAATAATGATAAAATAGACAAATACAAACCTCAGAAGTTTTAGAATGGCCATGTTATTCTGACACAAACTTTCATTTGTTTTGCTTGCACCAACGATATCACTAATAAAAGATGGCCAGTTTTTTGGCCATTCCCTTTTTAGGATCTGAAAGACAAACATAAAAAAAGATACTATTTGTATTATACAAGTAATTAATTACTCAAATAAAGTGCTATAGCATTAAGATAAAAGTGTATAACCTGCTAAAAGAATCACATATGACACAGATGCAACACCTGCTTATTCTGTGCTTTATCATTTAGAACATGTTTAAGTACAAAATTCAATCAATAATGAATATTATCTTCTGGTACTTTATTTTTTTCAATGTCAATTATTGAAAACAAACTTGCATAATAAAAAATATACATTAATGTTTCCATATTGAAAAACTAAATATCTTACCACACTTCACACTTTTTTGTCCATTAAATTTCCAGCTTTTTCTAGTAAAATCCAAAAAATTACACATTTTAAGTGCTTAATATGAGATTATGAATTGTTTTATGGGAAACCTCTTGACATTCTATTTCAACTTCACATTTTACTGCATCACAGATGCAATTTTCTCAAATGGCCTCATATATATATATATGCTATAAAGGATCAGTTGATGCAACATTTTCTGTGAGAACTGTTATTTGGTGTTTAACAACAAACAAATCCCGGTGATCATAAAATGCTTTAATCTGTCATGAAAAGACTTAAAATGACTGTACTGGTAACCAGCCAGTGTGTAAACAGAAACAGTTTCTGCACATGGTATTCATTGACATACATAACTGATCAACATACTTATCTATGTATACTGTTATCATGGGTATAAAAACATTAATGGCATTTATGAACAATGTTTACAAATGTTATATCTGCAAACTTACAAAAAATATTCATGATCTAATATCCATATTAATTAAGATAAATAAAAAATGTGATGTTTAAGATTTTGTGACTTACTGGCATCTCACTACTGCTGAATTTATAATGTACCCTACTGTTCATTAATAAAATGTCAGTTCAAAATACAAGACGTACAAGACTTATTCTTACCAACATTTAACTTTCTCACTGTGGGCATCCTTTTCTGCATGTCACGAGGTTAAATTCTGAGTTAAATTCAAAATTTAATTAAAGTACTTTATTATCTTGGTATATGAATAAACTTGGCATCAAAATGTAGCTAATAATCCAAATTTTAATATAAGTTTTGAGTTCTTAATTTTATAAAGTAATATTTAAAATAAAAAAATTCTTATTTTCCCCTTGTGTGAGCATTGTGACATTTACTCTATAAATATCCCCTTCTTCTCTAATTTACCGACTATCCCTCCAAAAAGTACAAAAATTTAAGGTAAATTACTCATTATGTTTCCATCACTCAAAGTTTAATTTTTATAGCCTTCAATCTTATTTGGTTAGAGAGCCATAAACCAGAAAATCAGACACCTCTTGCCATGTCCACCCATCACATCCTTTCTTACACAAGTTGCCAATCATTCTCTCTGAAGTTTAATACTATATTATTTATAACCAATAGAAAGCCAAGGTTTTAACCTATCAAATGATTTATTATCATATATTGCTTTTTGTATAGAAAATAGTCTATTTCATTTCCAGTTCAATCTTTATTCTCACAGGAAACACATCAATGAGCTTAGCTGAATTTTTAACAGATCTTGTCCCACAGTGAGATAGCCAGAAAATCTGTGATAGTCATGGGACATTATCTGCTTTTTGCATGTTATTATTCTGTGTTCTTTGGTGCAATATTTAATTAAATAAAAATTAGTTAGTGCAGAAATTTAATACTTATGTGTGGATCTTGTACTCTTTTACGATGGAAGACTCAATAAAAGTTAACCCTAATTTTTTTTGTATGGTTGTAGTTAATACTTTAATAAATTTTTATTTATTTCAAATATGCAACTTAGAACACAAAATAATGACATGCGTAAGGAATATAATGTCTTAAAACTATAAGAATTTAAATGACTATCTAACTAAGATACAAGAGCTTTAAAACAATTCCATTTCCATGTTCAAGGCAAACTCAGCAATAGTAACTTTGAAACTATAGGCCAAATCATTCAAAAGCTATCATTAGAGCAAACTAGTATTATAAGTTATTCAGTAAATTAAAAGCTTCTCTTTCTCTTGATTATAAATAATGTAACAGCAAATCTCAGAGAGAATTACAAACATATTTGAAAGACAGTACATAGCACGGGGGACAAGGCAGGTGGACTTGACTTTCTGTTTTTCTATCTGTAATGAAGATTACTGGAGATAATAACATTTGGTTATGTTTCACCAACATCTAAGATATAAGTTTGTAATTTGTATGAAATGAATGTCCAGATGCTGATGTAAGGGAGGAAAGAATATTCAAATGAGCAATTCAAAGAAATGTCACATGATACATAGAATTGAAAATTGAGAATTTATTTGAATATTTCCTTTCAAAATTAAAATTTGATTTATTAACTAAGTTTCGATGCCAAGTTTAGTAACACAATCTGACAAAGTTCTTTACTTAAATTTTGAATGTAACTCTGTAAAATGTTGTGCCATGCACACTTTGACACTCACCTTCAAGCACATAAAGTTTATATTTCAACGATGAAAATTTCAAACTTTTGCCATAAAAAACTTGGAAAAAGCTACAGAACTAAAGTGAATCTATTTCTTACCTGGACTAAAATCATGTTCAGTTTGTTCAGGTATACCTTTTCTCTTTCAAGAATATCTGGATCAGAAGAAGTTTTGATAACTAACCCTACAATATATTTCTTTATACCTGAACAAAAAAGAGAGAGAAAAAAAACTGATAATTAAACACAGATACTTAAAAAATATATTAATGTTTCCTACTTGAACCAATGTCTTTGGAAATATAAACTTCCTGTGCAGAATCTTTGGCCACAGAAAGTTGAGATACACACACTAACAGTGACAAAATACTAATACCTCTTGGTTGTTTCATAGTGGGAGGACCATTTTACATAATTTTGCAGAAAAACTTTTGTTTGTAAATTCAGTAATTCATAAAAAATTGAATTCCATTATTGTTGTCTTAAAAAAATCAATGAAACTAAAACTATAAAAACAGCTTCAAAGGAAGTTTATCAAAATGTCTACTTCCCTACGGGAATACGTTGAATCTATTGGAATTCGTCTTTTACTATTTCTTTTCCATACACCCACTCTGACTAGATAATTTTTGTTCCCTTTCTCTTTTGTCCACCAGAGAGATTATCCCATTTCAAGAGAAGGAACTTGGACTAACTTATCAAATGATTTTGGGGATGGAAAGCACAAAAGGTTAAATTTGGTTACTGGGGGCTTTGATAAACACACATCAGGAATAATGCAACTTGAAACAAAGTTTTATCTTCATTCAGTAGACTTAAAACGTTGTTTCTGTTAATCTGTTCATACATATTGGTTAAGGAACTAAAACATAGTAAATAACAGATATACAAAACACCACCTTCACACTGATTTCGAGGAAGAACTTTCCATCTTGTTTTTATGACATTTTCCAAAATCTGTAGAGCATAGTATTTGGTCTGCTGATTTTTTGAAAACTCTAGTATAGTATCCACTCTTGTCCATGAATCAGGGTGTTCTTTTAATCTTGTAAGAATTTCCTGGGCCATTCTTTGCTGTAAATAATAATTGTACTGAGATGTCACTTGTAATTCGTATAATTAACTTGATTGTTTACCTATTTATTTGCAGTCCTGTCCTTCAACGATACAAACACCTTATGATTACAACATTTGTAAAAGAAAGTTTTTTGTCTATTAGTTACATATACCAACACCTCACTTGTTAACAGTTTGAAGACGAAGCACTATTCAAGGACACGTACATTTCTACTGTTCATTATATGAACTGCCAAACAGGCCATTACAGATTTTTGAAAAAATAAGTTAAAAAAATAAAATTTTAAGCCTTTAATTTTCATTCACAAAAGCACATTTTATGAGTTAAAAATGTTGATTAACTGTACAACATTAAATTAAACATGATTTTGTATAAAAATTGTATTTAGTCTATGACTGAACAGAATAATTTGGTTACTTGTAATTATTTTTTATTGCAAAGTTTTTAAAAATCAAATTAGAAGCTTTTTTTACACTTGAAACTTGTAAGTTTGTGATATATTTTTAGTATAAACATTATTAACAATTTCACTTGTTTATGTTTACATCACATCTACCACAGGTGGTGATGTCATAAAATGGACATGACTTATAGCTTTCAAAGACAGTGAGTTCACCAAGTTATAAACGTCACCCATCTAAGTAATAAGGTTGTGCCAATGCCTAGAAAACTGAAAGGCTATATTTGGTGCTTATCAAGAAAAAAATTGCAACAAAAACAGTAAAGTTTCTATTTTCTGCATCACCATTTTACCTAATATTTCACTATAGTAGTTGACAACATAGCTAAAAATATTATTATGAAAAGATACCCGAATGAGGAATTAGTAAAAATGTAGTCACTTTAAAGTTTAATTAAAACTTAACTAAATTGAACATGCAACTTTTATAAAGTGCTAGCTTTACCACAACTGTAAATGATATCTATCCACATTAGATGAAACATTTTTTGAGTTTTTATTAAAGTAAGAAACTAAACATACCTGACCACCCTCACCAGTATACATGCAATTTACTATATTATCCAGGGCATTTATGTCTAACTTCTGATTGAAATCAAGAAGTTGATCCATCTGTTCCGCCAAATTTGCCATGTTTCCATTCACTAGTCATAATAAAAATATTTTTGATTATTTCCTGTTTTGAAAATGAGTAAGTGCAACACTGAACATTTATAAATTCAAAGTTCCAATATGTTTGTTATACAACAATTTAACAACATTCAGATAAAGATGTGCTCTAACAAAACTCATAAAAACTCAAACTAATAAAACCTATTGAAACATTTCTAGGCCCACACAAATTAAAATAAAACAAAAAGACTGTTTGTTATTTTCTTAGCACACATCTACACAATGAGCTATTTGCATTCTGTCCACCTTGGGGAATCAAACCCCAGCTTTTAATGTAGTAAGTTCAAAAACATATTGCTGATCCACCAGTGGGGGAGAGGGAGGTTGAATAGGCATAAAAAATTGACACAGGTAAATTTCAAACCAGGATGTAACCCTACAAACAAGGGGTGTAAAAATTATATTTTTTTTAATGTACTAGCTCCAGGCTAGTAGGCATGAGAAATGTACTAACCCAAATTAAAATTCTACCTAGCCCAACTATTTTTTCATTATAATTACTAAATTATTACACAGTGCAAATATATATACATATCTATATGCATTATTTCACAGTATTGCAAAACTAAAGATAGTATGATTTATTGCAGCAAATGAAACAGATGTAAAATATATGAGCAGGTTAACCACTCAACACATGTAATGAACTGGTAATCCTGATGTACTGAAAATAATGATTTGATTCACAATATATTAAAATGTAGTAAAATCTCTAGGGTGGTTATCCATGGTACATATACTACAAAATCGAAACAATCAAGTTGCACTCCAACATTCAGAACACCTCACCCTATTCCACTGTACCTAGGAAAAAGGCAACAGAATTCCTAGTAAGTGGTCCAAGTCATTTCACCCAAACAGCTGTTTCATCTCATATAAACTTTGCATTCTAATCTATTCTAATCCCATTGAAAAATAACAAAATAGTTTAGAATATTTGAATTTTAATTTCTATACAAGGCAGTCGAGTCGATAAAAGGATACCGATCTTACAAATATTTCATTTAAAACAGATATTAAATGATGTGAAAGGAAATATACCAAAAGGTATCATTTGTGTACATTTTTACAATATAGTGTTGGATTTTATACACATGCACATACTCCATGAAAGTAGAACTATGCTCTCATTCTAGGCTAGTATATACCAAATTCACAGAAGTCCAAATTCAAAATCTGGTAGTCTCAGGCACCAGACTAATGGATTTCTACACCTTTACAAAGTCTTTGTTCATTTAGTTTCAGATTATTAAAAAAATACTGGAAACCAGAACTTAACCTTTTGTATGATTTTAAAATGGAAGTATTTTAGTATTTGTTTATCCCACCAACCCAATAATTCTCCATTGTACTCAAAACAAATTTAATATGAACATCCTTTCAGAAACTTATGTTGGGTTGCACAAACATTATTACTAAGTAGATCACCATGGCATGTATGGAAAGGGTAAAAACTGACTTAAAATCATTTGAAAGGGGAAAGCAAGAGACTGTAATAAATGTGATTTTACTGATAATATAACCCTGCATAACATGCTGAAATTGTGCTATGTGGTGGGAAAAGAAAAAGAAACTTCATATTACCCTAATGTTATCATATTTTAACACTACTGCATGTTAACAGATGTTATAGATGAACAAGTGTTACAAAGACCCAACACAATATAACGTGAGCTGTTTTGTTAATAAATTTTCCTGAATAAAACTGGCACCAATTTCACTCATAAAAAATCTGTTGTCAAATTACAAATGCATATAAATTAGTTTGTATAACAATTTTTTTATGAAAATAGGGATCTGATTCCTTACCTTGCCCAGTGAACTGTAGCACAGGTTGCCTCATCCCATTGACTCTTGCAAATGACATTCAGGGTGAAGATACCTCAAACATATACCTGGATATAAAAGGGTTGAAAATAATTGTTAAGCTCTAAAATTTTAATTGAATTATTGCTACGTCAAATCATAAAACATACTATAAACATTTTTCAGTACTTGTTCAATTCCAAAAAACATTTTCAAATAACACACTGAGAAATATATTTTTACATCATTTGACAACTATTTCTCAATTCTAGACATTGTCACATAACAAATAGTTGCTTAGAAAAACAAAAATGTATTTTAAGTTAAATTTTTTTTTTTGGTTTAGAATAATGATTTAAACTTTATGGCCAAACTTTCAAGAAAAAATCAATAAAATCGGACATTTCCAAATACATGATGAGTAGTTACTTTCTAAGAAATTGTTAGGCATTGTTTCAATTACATAAAGAGCTGTAGTTTAGGCCAAAAGGTATGTAAAATTTATTGTGAATAAGAAAATAGGAAGGCTGTGGTTATGTAATGACTGTGGCAAAATTGGGGAGGGTTTCATAAAATTTCAAAGGGACAAAGAGGAGTTTATTAGCCCATCAAGGATGTCCCTTCCAGCTCCCAAATATATCCCCCTATTACTACCCATGTATTCATCCAATCTTTTCTTGAACTCACATAAATTTTCTGCCTCACCACCCTTGAAGGCAGCTCATTCCAAAAACCAACCACCCTGTTTGAAAAGTAATACTGTTTAAACTGCAGACCACTCCTACACTGCTAAAATTTGAATTCATGCCCCCTTGTCCTATTGTTTTCACTGCTAAACACAAAAAAGTTTGATCTGTATTATTAATACCCTTAATAATCTTAAACACTTCAATCAAACCCCCCCTGACTTTTCTTCTCTCCAGAGAAAATAAGTTTAGAGATTTTAGTCTCTCCTCATAGGACAATCCCACCATACCAGATATCATCCTTCTCCCACAATTCAATGTCCTTTTTAAAGAAGGGAGCATTAAACTGTACACAGTACTCTAAATGAGGCTTTGCAAGTGATCTATACAGTGAGACAATAATATCCCTTTTCTTGTATTCAATATTTCAAGAGATGGTACCCAAAATCCTATTAGCCCTAATGCTAGCTACAATACATTATTTAGATGACTTAGTGATTTTTCAATCACAACACCAAGATTTTTTCTCCAAACATAGTATTTAATGTATTATCATTTAAATCATAACAATAATTTGAATTGTGAAAACCTACATGCATTTTCTTACATTTTGGATGGTTAAACATCATTTGCCATGTATTGGCCCAATGCAGCAAATGATCTAATTCTCCCTGCAAGTCTGCAGCATCTTTGATACAGTTAAACAACCCAAAAATCTTAAATGTCATCTGCAAATTTCAAAATTTTGTTAGTCATTCCAGAGTCCATATCATTAATATAAATCACAAACAGCAGAGGACCCAGCAGATTTTTAAATTCTGGTTTCAGATACCTTCAGAATGACTTTTTTTATTCACCTTGTGATTTAACTTTTGATTGAATTTTCTTTGAGCCTTTTGAAAAAACCTGACTTCATATGTTTATGCTTATGTAAAGGGTATATAAAAAAAAGAATCCCCCCAAAAAATTACACTTGTTAGTTTGATCTGTGTTGTTTAGAAAGTATTAAAATTTACTGTCTGAGATTATGCTGAAAGGCATCTTGAAACCAAGCACTTAATAAGTGATACTCACTGTAGTTTTTCTTTTACTTACTATACCCACTTAGTTTTTGAATGCAACTCTGTTCCAAATTAAATATCTCGAATTTCAGACAGCATTGAATAAAGTGCTATACAAATGGTTAATTATGAAGTGCGATTCCTGTTCTGTTGGATAAATATTTAAACAGAGGTGATAAAATTTGATTTGCAGCATTAAACAAAAGGTTTGTGATAAATAGGAATTTTTACAATAGAGAAGTTTGAATAATAAACACTAATGTTCCCAAATTCACAGATGATACTGTGCAAAGAATGACCCATAAAATTAGAAGAGCCTGGACAGTTCTGATGGTTAAAAAAAAAAAGATGATTAAGACATAATTACTGAAGCATATTTAATTATTCAAATAAAAATTCCAATACCACCTAGTCAAAAAGGGGATTGCATTTGCACGTTTATTCTTTTCACGGGTTACAACAGAATGAAAAATGTAGCCACATCTATCAGATGTAGATGTTACATACAAACAAGCTATAATAATATAACATAATACAACAAAATCAGTAATATTTGTAATATCTGTTGAAAATTATCTTTCACACTAGATTTAAAATAATAATATTAATAAAGAAATACTAGCTTAGTTATCATCATGAACAAACTGAATGCCCTTCAGAAATAACGATTTTTTTCTCTCTCTAAATTATATGTTTTATGAACATGTTTTCTAAAAATTATTTATAATCTAGTAACAATATATGTATGGAGAATGACTATCCTGTTTCAAATACTTCACAAAAACAACATTTTTATGTATATTTGATCATCTCCTTTAAGTATTGCTTGACTAGCATTTTGACTTCTCTATATCTTTATGTTTAAATGTTCTTCTTGATAAATCATTATAGACTGAAACATGCAAAAAAAACTGATTGTCAAAGACATATTCTTACTTGGTCAACTGTATGACCCTGCAAATTATTAATTGTCATGTAATTGTAAAGGAAGTGAATTTTATTATGAATTTCAGAGTCTTCTCTTTTGACTTCGTTAATCTGCTGAGCTGAAGAAGCTCGCTTTAATTTGGGCATTTTCAAAACTGAAATGTGCTGCGGGTAAAACATGTGGGTCAATATAGAATTGTAGCCGAGGGTTCCGAAGGGACAAAATTTTATAATGTGTCAATGTGTGACCTTGACAACCAAGCAAATGTAATGGGGAATTTCAGCCAATGATTATGATTTTTCTGCACCAGCAATACCAAGTGTGAGATGAGTGTATACCTGATTCAATTTTATTACTCATTATGATCTCAGTCAATCTACTCTCAAATCTAATTGTATGCCTAAAGTAATGCATCATCTGTTTTATTATATGTACATGGCTGGAATTTTTTTTTTAAAAGACAAACTTACTTGTCATGGTAGAAAGCACTGTTGTATCGTGCAAGTTGCATGCCAATCGGTACCACAACAGTCGAGATATAGGTGTAACAGAATATACAGATGCAATGATTTTGAGATAATAATACAAATACAGTAATTACTACTTCATAATGCCTTTATTGGCAAAACCATGGTTGTTATTAAATGAAGTTTTTGTGAAATGTACAACTGTCTTTGCTTCTCAATTCAGTAAACACAATAACTCCCCAGAGCATGATATTCTACAATATTTGTTACAAGGATTCTATATACTCTCTTATTACTTTTTGTATATGATTCATCACAAAAATTAAACATCATTACACAGGTATATGTGATCTTTGCAAACATACTAACACATGCATGTAGATGCATTTACTCAAAGTATAATTTTTTATTTCTCATGTGCATTTTCCTTGTTTCTTAAGTACAATCGAACAGAAGCATCATCAAGCCTTACATGAATATGTTCAAAGATTTGAAACATACTGTTCATTTGAGGCATTTCAGCAATTATCTACAATGCTTCATGCAGTTTCAGTCATTGTAGGTTTGATTGCAAGTTTCAGAAAACTCAAAAAGATAGACACTACACTTGCAGAGCTTGCATACTTAAGAACAAATTATAGAGAGCTTTGGAGAAGACTGAGCTATTAAAGGAGGAAAATAGCAGAGTAGGAATAGAAATCAAGGAACTAAGACAGGAAAATGTACAAGGTCAGGATAAAGGTTGCATGGAAAAAGGTGAGAATGAGAGGTTGGTTTAAAAAGTTGCACACTAAGAAAACAGAGCTATATAGGCAGGTTCAGTTTTATAGCTGCACTGATAGTTATTTGCAAACGGTATAAAAAAGACTAGGATTTGCTTGCTAAGTGCAAAAGTAAAGGACATTACACATTGTGTTTAAGGTTTAAATGTTGGTATCAAAGAAATAGAAGTAAGGCCTGTTTGAGAATGCTTTCTTAGCTAGATGCTAGAATGAATTACTTAGTACAATCCAAAGCTTAAGTAAAAGATCATCAAGTGTAAGGTTACAAAGCCCTGATAGTGATAGAATATTATCCCTCCTGTTGGTTTCAACTAAACCAAGACCAGACATTTAAGTGGCATGGAAGTGAATGAATAAGCTAGTAGAATGATCCTGTGTATGGAAGAGTTAATCTTATAAGCATAGGTCATGAACTCTTAAACTTATTTTATCCTAAGAAAAGTAAGGTAAGAGGTGATCTCACTGAAGTTTACAAGATTACTCAGGGGCTGATAGGATAAAGGCCCCCAATTTCTTTGTGCTGTATTCTGCACGCAATAGGATGAGAGTACACATTAGTTAGGACAGGTTTATTTTTCTAATAGGGTGAATTACATGAAATAGTCATGGAAGCCAGCATTTTACAATAGTTCAAAGGGAGAAATTGATGATTTACTGAAAAATAATGGTAGATTTAAATTTGTATTTGTTCTCAAAGAAGACCACGTAAGGACGGCCTTAAAGGACAAAATGACTGTTGTTTGTTGAATTTCACATAAAGCTACTCAAGGACTATCTGCACTAGTTGTCCTTCATTTTGAAATGACAGGCAAAAGAGAAGTCAGCTAGTCAACACCAACTCATAAGCTACTCTACTTGAATAGTGAGAATTGACTGCACTGTCATAATACATCCATGGCCCCCAAGTGCAGAGCACTTTTTCTTCTTCTGATGGTAACAGAACATGAACAACTTAACATTATATCCACAGTATGCCATAGGATAAAATGATCTCATGCTGTCATATGTTGTTTTAGGTTAAAATGTCCAACCAATTCAGTATCCTTGCACCCTCAGCTTTAAAAGAAGTGAACAAACACATCATAAATTTACATGTTTATTTTCTGATTAGAGAAATAACTTTAAGGATAAACCTTACATGCACTTTCTTCACAATACTATATCTTATTTGTAACAACTCATTCTATTCCTTATACTTTGAATTGCAGTTAATTTTTGTTTTTATGAAGGTTGTAAAAACTTATTTATGATCAAATAAGATTTAAAGTTATGTATTATGGATGGAGGGGAAAAAAGATGACTAAATTTGGTTCAAAACTAATGTTTCTTTTCCAAGTGCCACCTGAGCACAGTAAAAACTTACTCCCCAAATTGTGACTATTATAATTTTTTCTCTTTTTTAGATACAAATGCCCAACATTATCACCATACTGTGCCAATGGTGTTAAACAAAAGCACCACACAGTATTTGTTAATACCTATACTTTGGCCTTTAATTAGTATTAGGTCACCTATGCTGTTTCATTGGTACTAATTTTAGTCTGTAATGTTACATACACACAAACACATAGAGATTTAACTGGGTTGGAGTTCAATAGAGAGACATGCATAAACTGATGATTACATATAAGCAACATGTAAATGGTGTTTCAACTTGTATATGAGCCATGACTAATACTTATCATTGGTCAAGTTAAGCTATTTAACATGGCACTGCCCAGCACAGAAACAGAATCAAATCCTCGTCAGCAAAAATTATCTACAAGCTAATATACAATACACACACAAAAAAACATGCACATGGAGTTGTTTGAGGCTGCAAAATCATAAGTACATGGTTCAAAAATACAAAACTGATTCTCGTTCACAGTATAATCCCATCTATACTAGTCAGAAAAGACTATATTCTTTTACCTAGTATGAGATGACAACCACAGTATATTTTGTGCCAAATGGGCACATTTTTACATGCTTGATTTGACTTTTAGGAGAATTTTAATATTGCACAACTTATAAAAGGTTACACCCTCTTTCAAGTTACCAACCAATAATAATTTCCAATCAAAACAAGCAAACTACTTAGACTTTAGAGCAAAACTAAAAATCAATCTATTAACCCTTTCAAGATGGGTCACAGGTGAAAGGCCATGTCATCTCATTTTACTTGCATTCAAAATTTTACTGAACAACTATTTCATGAATTTATGTCAATATGTTTAGTATCAAACTAAAGATTATAATTCAAATTTTAGTACTATGTATTACTCAATTTCTTAATTTAAAAGCATATATTAAAAAACACAGATAAACATTGATTTTTGTGAGTCACGTGGTACGTTGAATGCAACACTGGTTCAAATTAGATGTTTGTGAAGTCAAAATACCAAGTCTATAGTTTAGAACAAATTAGAAACTCAAATTACCAATATTGACAAGCTAGAATATAAAATAAGAATGTCTTATCTTTTTTTTTGCTAAGATACTGCTCATGTAATAAATCAAACATAGTGGCACCAATCCACCTCTTTCCATTTTCGTAAACGCTCCCTTATATACACTTCTATACATTACATGAATAACCAATCGGAAGCTCAGAATACCTCCCTAGTGGCTTTCTCAGCCACATTAATGTATTTGGTGTCATTTCTTTCTTTTGAACCAATATTTCAATGAGGTAGGGTGTGTCTTTAGTCTGCTCAAAATTTCATATTTTTTTAAACTAAAATACATCTTAGTTACTAAGCTTTATAAATTATATTGGAATTCTATGGTATTAGTGTAGTAATTTATGATTTTTTAGTTATTCAAATGTATATATAAAATATAAAAAAAATATTTTGTTTCATATCCTCCACGTGCAATTTTTGTAAAGGCTAAGCAACCTACTTCAAGCAGCAACCGAGTATAAAGGCTGTAACTAGAAGAGATAATTGTTTGCTTTTCTTCTTTAATTACTGTTCTATGTTTTAAGAAAAATAAGTTTAAGAACTTATTTCAAAATAACAATAATCTATATACATATATAATGTATAATAATTGAAATGACTGTATTTTACAAAATAATAGTCTACTAAAATACAGCCAAGACAGGTCACTTTGTAAAGACAAAAGGTCAGTTTTATATTATGGGATTCGGTAACATGAATGCACGTGTGCTGCATCATTGTAACTTCTTTACTGTTAGCCAGGCATGGCTGAAAGGTCAATATAATAAAAATAATAAATAAAAAAAAATGTATAATGTTATGAGATGTAAACTATGTAGTCTAAACATTTATGTTTTTGTGTTATAATTTGTGTTCATTGTAGAATGAAAGAGGCTTAATTTATATTTGTTTCCTAATTTTTTGTGGTGGTTGTGAGATCAATCAAATCTACCAATCCCGTACAGAGATTAATTACTGAAAACAACAGATAAAATATAAAGTTTTTTCTTAAGAAACAATTGATAACTATCTGGATGTTATAACGATTTTACATGTGAAATTTGAAAATTTTCTGATTCATAAAAGCATTTTTAATCTTAAAATGAAAATTACTTTACATGATAGATAGCCAACATGTGAAAAGAAAAAAAAGGCATGAGAAAAACATTGCTTTACAAACCTTAAGACTTAATAAAAAAAATGATATTTTTTGTATGAAAGCATTGTAATGTTTAGTGATAATCTGCCAAATTTCATTAACATTTGCTTGCTAATTTAAAAATTCCAGCATAAAAACTATAACAAGCACAAAATGGTTACGAGGTCAGTTCAAGGGACTAAGCCCATGCTGAAAAAGTTAATAAGTATAACCAATGAAATACTTTTTTGTGCTCTTACTTATAAGGATAAGAATACATTGCTTCATCAGTTGGGTACTCTTGCTGTTAACAATATTTTGGCTGTAAACCCAATATCTCACAAGATTCAGTCAGCTTAGGATATTTATATGAGTCCGAAATCCATATACTAATGTAAACAAAGCAAATAATCTCTATATAAAAGCATAATAAGAACAAATAATAAGACTAAATATAATAACATTGTGAGCAGTACTGAAATAATAATAGTATATCTAACTTAAAGAAGACACACATAAACACCAGCTGCTAGCTTCAAGGACTATCATGGATTTGTTAAGTTTGTATTACTCATTAATATCTAGCCCTCATAATTAACAGATAACTTACATAACCCTAGAAGTAGAATTACCAATGGGGTCCATACTGTCCTTATAAATTTCTTAAAACACATTTTTCTAAACTATTTATACACAAAATTGCTTGTGGGTCTGACACAAAAACTGAAAACAATAATAACATCAATATTGCAATTAATCAAACTAATTCTTGCTGAGGTTTTCTTACTTTGCACAAGAAATTTGTGATATCACTCAGTTTGTTAGGTCAGTTCTTTACAATGTGTATTGTAACAAAGAAACATTAGTTAATATAATGCAATATGTGGATACCACCTATAGTGTAGTGAATAGTGCCAGTAATCTGAATGCTAATACAAATAATAGTTTATGTACAACCAAAACAGCAGTTACCAAAGCTACAACATATACTGATGATTTAGGAATTAACTGAAAAATTCCAAAACTGTCTTATTATATCTACTAATAATAGTAATATAGTATTACTATTAATATAGCTTGTGATCCGTGACTTTATGTAACTTCTGACTTTTATTAAAGTTAGGCTACTTGGTTAGGCCTATATATTGTATATAGTAAAATTATTACCTTTCAATTTTATTTTTAATCTTTTGGTCTGAAATGTTTGGCATTCTTAGTATCTAGCACTAGCAGTATACTATATAATATATTAATATTATTACATTAACACTACTATTCACTGTGAGTGTTGATTTGTATTAGTACTTCGTGCAAGTTACTCGCTTACTCTAACTTACCAATAGCCTTTCTTAGTTACGAAAGATTCTTAATCCAAGACTAGTAATAGTAGTAGATAATCAACGGTAGTATTCTATAATACCGCCATAAATGATAAAGTAATAAACTTACGAATAATTCCTTTACAAAACAAAAATGGCTGCGCCCATTCTTCAAAAGGACGAATGGTTATTTTATAAATCGTATGGAAGATAGACTTACCTCTTTTGTGAGTATTAAATATGTTTGTTTTTTTAAGTATCTTTAGTTTTCGAACAGTTTTTATAAACGGTAAGAGCTGTCGCTTTTGTGTATTCTGATCTAAAGCGCAAATTTACTAAATATCCCACTGTGACCGGTTGAAACTGGTTGTAAGGTTTCATTTTCGTGCATTTCCGGAAACTGCCGAGTTTGTTATCCGATTTCTGTCCCGACAACAAAGTTTTAAAATATATATCAACGAGTGGAAAATAATGTTACCTCAGAAAGTTAACAAACAAATATTAACACGTTTTAAGAAATATTTTCTGTTGTATTTTTATTTCTATCTTGTAAAAAGTAAATAAAAAATATCACGCTACTCTCTAATGACGTCAATTGCCTGCACCGTATGATTGGATGCGAATCAGTACAAACAGGATTTAAAAGGATTTGTAGTTTCGAATGGAACCACCAGGCAATAAGAATATTATTTTTAATTTCTATGGGGTTTTGAGTTCGTTTTAATACATCATGTAGTAACGTAAAGTAATTTCGATATGTGAATAATATTACAACATTTCGTTGAATTCACGATTCGGTATTATACAGTGGACCAATTTGAAATATAGATATACAATTATTTTTAAGTATCTATTTGGAGTTACTCTAGCCAGTAGTTACACCAATATCAAATAGATCAATGATAATAAAGGCTCTGTTACGTATCTGCTTGTTTGTTAATTTCAGGTAGAAATTCTTTCCGAGAAACTTCCGCGATATAAGTACTTTCTTAATTAAAGCTAATTTATTCTTTCTCGATACAACTTTGCAATACACAGAATTTCCACAGTCACCTTAACTTAACCACTTTTGTAAAAACACGCTATAATTCACAAGGATTCACACACTTGACTCGATTATCTCTATCTTCAATCTCTCTATCTATCCGCTTCTGCTTTATTTCCCGGGCTTATATACTAACAAAGAAGGCGCCTGGAACAGACTAGAGTTTCCAGGATTATTCAAGATCTTTCGAGAATCTCATGACGTGTTACCAGCGTCACGTGACTTCTGCTGTCGTAACACTGCCCCTTCCTTAGTATTGTTCGTCCGGAACAATAGCCACTTACATTAAACCAATAAACAATTAACAATAACTTAATTAAATATACAGAATTTACAAACACAAAATTAAAATTCAACAAAGTCTCTTAATTTTACGGAACGTATCTTCTTCCGTACTGGTCTCCGCCTCGGTGGCTTCTGCTTCACGAGGGGTTCATCTGCTTCATCAGGAAACGTCCTATCATTGGTAACAGTCACATCAGTGATAGTAACTCCATCAAGGGCTTCACTGTTTCCCTTCTCAAAACCGGGAAGAGTTTCTTCTTCG